AAAACAAGGTTGAATCTCTATTCGGCAAAAGCTCAGGAGTAAAGAAAAATAAAATAATCCTAAAAGGAAAGAAGTGATAAAAAGGACAAAGATAAAAACATAATAATAAAGCGTATATTATTCTTAACCAAGCGGAATGTTCCTGAAAATTCAGTTGCGTTATTATACTCTTCAGTTAGATTAGAAAACAGCAACATGCATGTACTTCTTTGCTCTCGGGCGTTGTTTGTCCATCTAGACAATTCTATGGATTCCAATGGCGCGTATAGTTCTTGGGTTGCACCGTGAGAATCAGTTGGCCTTCTGCTGAGCCATTGTGCTCATGGTTCGAATCCAAAATGGGTAATTTTAATATTTATTTGTTTTGGGAAAATTTCATGGCTTCCAAAGTCATTGGCTCGGTCCATTGGGAGATGGACATTAAATTGGAGGTAACACGTTTTAATGGACATTGTTCAAAGTTGCAAGCTGCATAAAACCCAAAATCACCATACTTACTTTACCAGTCTTCATTTTCCTCTGTTCTTCTATAACCATTCTCGTAGATCTTCTCCCTCCCATGATATTCAACTTCAGAGGGGTTTTTGTTTGTTTGTTTATTTTTCTTTCGTTTCCTTTGCTATTGTCATTTAGTTATTGCTATAATGGGCAAAGACGTATGTGATAAAAATCATCGGACGCATAATCCTCGTGATGATGAATCATCAGACATTTCTATTACCACGAGAGCTTGGCACTCGCATTATCTTCCCAACATGAGATGTTGATTTGGGCCTTATATAGAGACTCCGGCAGAATCCAGCTCAGCTTATTACAGTGTTTTTTCGGCATACGCACTGTCTAGACGAAAAGGGTGAAGTATGGAAAGTGTATACAAGTTTGAGGGTTTGGAGTGCGAAAGTGTTTACCTATTCTTCACTTTGCAAAGCTAAGTCTACAATGACAACGATGACAACCCTGAGAGCTTAACTGTTGGATGATTCTCAGATCACTATGTAATTGGGGAAATTGCGCATTTTTTAGGTGAATGGACAAGCGTAAGCACACAGGAGTGCAAGCAGATAGATATACAAAACAGATTACATATAAGAGGAGAGAGAGACGGGGGTGGGGTGGAGAGAGAACGAGAAAGAGAGAGAGATAG